TTATTACGCTTTCGAGCTGCTCTCGTTATGCAACACTGCGATGCATCGCCCGGCGTCGCTGCGTCTGTCGCTCCCGTTTTTCGCACATTGATTGGACTCTCGGTCTCCTTGAACTCATTGGCGGAACGTCTTGCTCTTCCTTTTTTGATATATCTTCCTCCTCTCGCAGCTAATCTCGTCTAATCAGTATTAAATTACGTGTCTTGTGTCTCGCATGACTTGCGTAAAAATTGGAGTAGTTTCGACTCCTCAAAATGGATCGTATTTAACACAAAGCGATCTTTTTCAATTTTTTTACGCGAAATTATTTATTTCGCGATTCGTGCGAATCTATCAACGAAACGCTATTCCACCAAATTTTTTCAAGATTGATGTTTCACTGCCTTTTTATTGTGTTTTCCAAATTTAACTGAGCGACACTTGAACAAATAGGCAAGAATATCGCCTACGAATCAACGGTATTCTTTTTCTTCGATTCGTTCCTTGGCTAGTACGTCTGTTCTAAAAATTTCCACACACTCTTGACACACCCGGCTTTCGATCAGTCCCATTGCGCACGTGTGTCTTTTGAAGTTACTCAAACTTGAGGCTAGGAACGTCTCAAGACTGGTCATATGTCGCAGGATTCGTCCCACATATGTGCGCAGAAGACGAGCTAAGCGATCGGTATAAGGGACACGCAAAAGTAATCCCAAGGCTGTCCAGTTCGTCTGGCGCCTGCTTGTGCGATCAAGGTCGAATGGACGGAGTCCAGCGAGTTCATCAACTCGATTTTATTAAATTCTATTAAAATTTAAATGCCAGCTCCCATATCTCTCAACTCTGCTAATGTTCCTTTCTTTTTTTTCTTCTATTAATTATAACTCTAAAGCTACAACGTAAAATTCCTTGTTAGCGAATAATAATAATTTAATCGAAGAAAATGACAGAAAGTTATGATACGTTCATGTTCCGAATTTCCGCGGATACTCATTTAAAGAATTAAAAAATATGCAAAAAATTAGACTCAGTCTCGAATTGCCAAGCAAATCGTCCCTAATTCTTGTGTAATTTTGTTCTAATAACCAGATGATACTTGAAATACTTGGAATTTTAAGTTGTTTCTTAACAAGCTGTAACGTTTTTTTATCTTCTTCGTTGCAAAATTCTCGTATTCTTTTACATTATAATGGCAGAAGAACTATTTCGAATATTATAATACTATCCGCTAAGTATAGTTTTAATGTATCTGTTCGATTTTTAATCTTATTTTAGTAGAAAGATGGAAAGAGTTTTTACTTACGATGAAAATATGCTTGAATTTAAATTAATTTAAAACTGACTGAAGTACTTAAATTTAAAAGTAGTACTTAAATTTTTAAAATTTAATGAACTTTAACTAGAAATTCGCAGTTTAGACATTATTATTAACAATATAATTTACAATTAATATTTCTGTTAAAAAATAGAGAATCATTGTGCATCAGGAGAGGCTTGGACTAAATGGTTAGCAAAGGTTTAAAAATAGACGGCTTTATCAACGTCGATCGGCATCCGAAATAAATCGCTATTATCGGCGTTTTAAGTACCTATATGCGCGTCATCTCTGTCGCAGATTTTTTCCCTGTTTATTTACAGACATAAAATAATAAAACTATCATTCTACAAGATGTCCCGTCCTGTCACTGGCCTATCTTTCGATCTGATCGACATCAAATGACTCACCATCTGAAATGACTCGAATATAAAGTGCGAAAGGAATGAGTTCTTGAAGATCACGGCAATGATATGACGGTGCTATTAAAAATTTCAAAGGATGTACTTGATTTTCGAGGTAGTTCGAAGCCAAGTATTTTTCTAGATCGATCGTCAGCTCGAATCGCAACCCGCGTTCTCCAGTTGCATTATGAGATACATAAGATAATAAGTTCGACGAACTGTACTGCAGTTATCATTGTCAAATCGTAATGATATACTTACATACCATAATAATATATAGGTAGTAACACTCTAAATTTCTTACAGTGAAATCTCACTCCAAGAAAGTGAAAATACAACCATCCTCGAAAAAAAGTGAAAATATTTCACTTCTTGAAAAAGAGTGACAATTTTCACTCTTTTGAATTTTCACTTCAAAGGAGTGAAATCTCACTCCCAAAAAAGTAAGATGAAATATTTTCACTGGGTGGTGGTATTTTCACTCTCTTAGAGTGAAATTTCACTACAAGAAATTTAGAGTGAATTTAATTCGGCGATAGAATTTCTCGTTTGAATTATAACTACACCGAATGAGTGGTCTCGAATCACTGACTGGTCATAGTATAACATTATTTTTGAACAATGTACCGAGGATGCGAGCTAGTAGAGCTATGAGTTGGTTTTGGCACGTAGCAGTGCACGCTCCGATTAATCTCGCACAGCTACGTAACGTGACAAAGTCGATAGATACTCGTAGACCTCTGAGGCTCCGTTCTGTAGATGATTTTATCTTTGTTGTTCACCGAATATTAAACAAGAATAAAATAGTATATCATACAAAATGAGAGGTTGCTTTGCGGTAGGTCGATCAGTTGATGCATTCGCAATCGGTACTACTGCGATTCTATTCGCTTTCCTTAGTGGGTGGAATACAAGAACGTAACGTAATCATTCATAATTACATAGTACAGAAAATTTACAGCAGGCATGGGAAAGCCGAGCTTATCGAGCGATTTGTATAGATACACACTCTGTTTAGGCTTATCAATAGGTACATAACGTTGACAAACGTTTCGGTGAGCTCCGAGAGACCCTCGAGTTTGACAAACATAACAATGACTTAAGTGGCAACGTTAAGTACATATGTACACTGTCTTCCATGTAACATTGTAGCATGTAACTATCCATCTGTTTGCCTAACACTTGAGAATCCGCGTTTCCAATTTGCTTTGAATTATCACTTCGATTATGAGTAATCTTATTAATTATAATTATAGCTGTCTGACACGAATGATTAAAACTTTTTGAAGTGTCAATTCTTGTTCTGTAGTTCTGTAGTTTACCATAATTAAATGACAATGTAAACTTTATACCATGTGCTTCAATAATTACAGATACGCTCTATGTCTAACGTATATGAAAAGTTTTCCAGCACAATGAAGAGAGAAGTCTTATGAATGAGACGCTAAAATTAGAATCGACTTCCAGGCACGCCATCGCTAGTTTTTACTGACTCTCGCTGCATCCCAATTTTATTTCTACGATTTCATTTGACGAAACCCGACCAGGCCGGTAAAGAAAACGATTGCAATCGACGAGTTCTTCTCCTGTCATCACAAAATTGTTTCTATTTTAACAGTCTGAATCATACTTTCTCTCACTTTTCCCTTTGAAGCTTATGTTACGCATTTTGTTGCTCTGCTATCTCATCAGATTTATATCGCCAATTTGTATCGCGAATATCAAGTTTATCTTTATCTAGAAATTTTTTTGTTGGATTAATTGCTTCCTTTCTTAGAAAGCGACAGATTTTTCCAGGATTGTAATTTTTTAGGAATGATTGGTAGCTGCATCTTTTCGCACAATGCGAAATTATATTTACATTCTTCAATGTAAATATAAAAAAAAATGATAGGTGTATACGCAAAAGAAAATATTGTGATGGAAAGGCAAACAGGACCGAAGAGCAATTCGATACATCGATGGAACAGCACTTTGACGTTTTCATGCTCATCATATTTACTAAAATGTATTTGTTTGACATGCTCTCCGTGATACGATCCGTGATATGATCACAAACTCGCAGTGTTATGAATCACGGGGTGTAAATTATGACGGATTATTGTTAGCGTCGGACGTCGTGTTATTAGCGAGCAATTAACGTTACTTTAGTTGTCATAAATAGGTACATATTCGTACACGACATGTTTGTATTCGTCTGTGGGCTATTATGTGCCGCAACACATTTCTACTCTTAAATCTTTTACAAACCAAATTTTCTACAAACAGTATTTAAACTCACACCTTAACAAATCTTGATTCCGTTTAGATCCTTACTTAGGGTTACCATATCAAAGTTTTTTAAATTAAAACTTACAGGTCAAAAATCTTGGTCATTTTGCTTGCAATCTTGAATACATACAAAAATGCCTCTTAATAAAATTGGTTCAAATAAGGACTAATTATTTCAATAAATAATTATTAGTCAATGAATAATTATTTTATATCTGGTATAATGGTTTATTAATAGTACTAATTTAACGTAAGAAATTGACTAATCATTGGTTATTATCTTCTATTTCTTTTATTTTTACAAAAATACCTCTCAATCTAGAATAATCAATTCTCATCAGATATTCGTCGAACGAATAAAAATTTAATTTAAATTGTTTCTGTACTTTATCGAATAAAGCTTAGTCAGTAGATATTTTTCCATAATACGTTTCAATATATCCAAAATATTATAGTGCGTTTCACACATAATAACGCGCGTATGTATATCACATATCTTTATATGTGCGTGAAAATTCATTAACACGTCCTGTATTATTACAATTTGTATCTTTTCTTCTGAACACTTAATGTGCTTTATCCATCTTCATGCAAGCGAGAAAATTATTATGTTTTTATAAAATTACGAAAGCAGCATTTTATTTCTAAATAATTAAAATAGTATATATTGACAAATTTTATATATTATCTTCCTTTCACATTTTCTATAATTTGACTTTTTAAATATAAACGGTTCTGGGCATTCTCGGGAGCGTGCATCTCGTTTCTCAGGAGATCGATATTTTGATCAAACGTAGCCATTAAGTGGAATGTAACCTACATTTTTATTGTGCGAGGGGATACTGCCTACAAGTAACGTTTTCGTCTCTCCGCTCGGTTACGTAATGCTCGCTCCAAAGGTGAACCTCAAACGAAGAATTAGCTGCGATATTATTTTTACATTTTTCTTCGTTCTCGCGCGTTACGTTATATTGCTAAGCTTTATCAACAACAAAATGCTGAGTATGTCTCATTGTTTAAATTTTGTACAGGTCATGAAAATGGCGAAGTCAGTGCTGGGCGAAAAGCTGTTCACAAAGCTCATGAAGGCCACGTTTTACGGTCACTTTGTCGCTGGCGAAGATGAGGTGCAGATTACACCTGTCTTAGATAGGCTGCGGCAATTTGGCGTTAAACCAATCCTTGATTATTCTGTCGAGGAAGACATCTCACAGGAGGAAGCCGAGAGGCGTGAAGTTCAGTAAGTATAATACTCTTTAAATAAGTTTTACATATTTCCGTGACATAACAATTACGTTGTGGCAACTATCGTGCATTGATCTTTTTTATTTTCCGTATGGCCTTAGAGTAACACGTTACTCCGTTCGAATCCTTTCATCAAGTATGAAATTTAAGCCTATGTATCGCTTTACCGCACAGAGATAATATCGGATACAGTTTTTTTTATTTATATTTGCTTATCTTCGATTCTTGCGTGAATGGATTTTAATTTCCATCAGTATGTGAATGGAAACAGTTTAAGAAAGAGATGAGACATCTAAATAGAAAAAAAATCGAATACAAACATAGATTACGATGATAATAAATGCCCGAACAACCGCTAACTATTTGGTATTCTTCCATTCAGAGCCTCCGTGTCGGAAGCGGGCGATGAGAAGAGGGAGGGCCCGCTAAAGAAGTATCACGTGGAGAAGTCGTTCGCCGATCGACGATACAAGGTGTCGTCGGCCAGGACATATTTTTACCTAAATGAAGCGTCGTGCGAGCGAAACATGGACATATTTATCAGATGTCTGGAGGCTGTGGCGAGTGAGTACTTATGACTTCCTATAGCATTTTAAAATCCTTCCTAATCCCTGAGCATGTTTGGCTGTGCAATATTAAGCTATGCAGGATCACAAACCAGTCTGGAGCTGATTTTTCGCTCGAGTCTCTTGAAAATTAAATTAAATTAAATAATGAAAACATTTTTTGTTATTTAACTTTAAGTGTGTAAATTAGGAATTTATTTGTTTTTTCTATCATCTTGATCTATTCCGCAATTTACCAAAAACTAGGAACGATGATTAAATTCATGAAGCAGATGGATTTTTTTTGCAATGTTCTTAAAAGGCTTCTTTTAAAGTGCCTCTTGACCTTTTTCGGATATTCAGTGCAGTCAGCCAAACTAGTCATATATCTTTGCTATCCAAGGAGATGCTCCGATTTACTATCCGTCAAGATTACTGCATTACTATTATCGTACAACTTGATTTTCATGAACATGATTATCGATCCTGATTACATGAAGATTAATATTCACCATGTGATACTTATTCGAGGACAATAAAATGTGCGAAGATATAAAATTAATTAATTAAATGAACAAGTTGTGTAATTAAATTAAAACGAAATGTAAAATTATACTTAATCAAAGTACTAAAACCTATGTAACATGGCGGAAGGACTGCTTTCTAGGGAGGGGGGAAAGAGGTAATTGCATAATTACGGGGAGCGATTCCGACGTCATGAAGTCGCGTGCAAGATCGATCGCCATTTTCAGCGAATTTTCAGTTTCCGATGACGCAAGAACATTCGCCTCTTCCTGGCACCGGTATTACGTTTAGCACTATCTACAAAACGCTATCAAATTACTGTCAATACGAGAAAGAGAGAAAAACGTAGGATTGGAAAAAACCCGGGCTTTTTAAAAAAAACTCGACCAAAAAAAAACCACACACACATTGGATTTTATGGAGGTTTTATTGGGTTTTATTGGGGTTTTTTGGGTTTTTCGGGTTTTGGGTTTTTTTAGGATTTTTTTGGTAAAATTGATTATTTGATATTTTTTTTCATGTAATATTTAGTTTACGTTGTATTTATCATTATTCACTACTTTATTATCACTACCTTAATACTTTTATATGCAGAATGATTAGTGGGACCATATTGTATAAAAAAAATTACACAGTTTCGTTTAAAAAAATGGAGAGGACCTATATATCTTTTTAGCGCCTCCACCTAAAAGAAAGACAACAATACGTGACCAAAATACGTCCCCCTTGAAACCATTCCACTTTCATCTAAAACATTTTTTCCAATCTCCAAAACTATGGGTGTTATTCGGGTGGCCGGTCTTAAGTGACTCACCATGTATATATCTTAAAATTGGTATACGTTAAAATTATATCACTTCAGTTATGGTTTAATATACATATATTCATTAAATATTTATAAATACGTCCCTTTTATGTGTTTAAAAAATTTATTTTTCTACAATTCCAATAAAATCAAAAAAAATCCACAAATTGCAGGTTTTTTTAAGTGGGTAAAACCCAAAAAACCCAAGGGGTTTTTTTGGGGTGGGTAAATTAATGCCAACCCTGGAAAAACGGCACGTATTCTCGCTATGCGGCGATGGATTTTTCGAAATTACGTGAATTACATAATTTCGAAATCTTCCACACTCGGCTATAAATATATCAGTAAGTACATGCACCGTTTATTTCGCCCAAATTATGTGACGTAACATATCGGGGACATTAATGGATAAAAAGTTGTCACGAGTTGACTAATATCTATCTAAAAAATAGAGGAAAATAAAAAGTCGATATACTGTAGACTCTGAATAAAGAGTATTGTTTCATAAAATTTTCCAGAGGATGAAGTTGAGACTTTGCGGTTGAAATATCCTTCCCAGAATATTACCACCCATGCCCAAGTCGATCCTTATCCTGGTAAGAAAGACATTGTTTTCCTTCCTTACCTTGGAATCTTCCCCATACATTATTTTTTTATTTTTCTGAAGCGCTTTTCTTTTTTACGAAAGAATAATTGACTTAATTAGTATTGTAGTATAATACGACGTAACGGGAAGTATATCTTTGCAGGTGCTTCTATGGGAATGGGCATCACAGCTGTCAAATTAACAGCGCTTGGTCGGCCGCAGCTTCTGGTTAGTAATTTTATTTTTCTACTGACTTTAGTTGTTCATTTGTAAACCTACAACCGTAATAAAATAATTTATGCTTCAGCTGCAATTGTCTGAGGTAATTATGCGTGCACGACAGTATACATCGGATGTTATCGGCGGCGAGGGTGCCGTTCTGGCTCATCACGCAAAACCTGATGATTTTAAGAAAAAATTCGAGGAGGCACGCATCAAAGAAACAGAGGTGCAAAAGTTCCTTCAAAAAATTCAATCGGATAAGGAAGGGTACGCGCGATCAAAATGAAGAATTTTAACGACGTTTTAATACAGAATAGTATTGCAAACACAATGGATATTTTTGTCCACGCAGTGTGATTCACCTCTTCCCGTGGAGCGGTATTCTAGACGAAAATTATGAACTGAGCGAAACGTTCCAAGTACCTGATATTAAGACGGGCAAAATGGTTAGGCTAATGTCGCAACTCACGTCCAAGGAAGAAGAAATGTTTAGGAACATGATTAGACGTCTAAACAATATCGTCACGGTAGGTGTTAAGCAATAAAGCTTTTCTATCAATTTTGAGGTTCTTGACCGTTCATAAATAAATAAATCATTCTTTTTTACAGGTAGCTGACAATCTGGATGTTCGTATCATGATAGATGCGGAGCAGACGTACTTCCAACCGGCCATTTCTCGCCTGACGTTAGAGATGATGCGCAAATACAATACGAAAAAGGTAACGTTCTAATATTCTCAGAGGATCGCGACGTTATCACTTAGCTACTTTTCAGTGAATGATATTCTTACCGCCAAATGTCGGTCTACTTCTTAGGCTGTGGTATTCAACACTTACCAGACGTATCTACAAGACGCATATAATGAGGTGAAAACGGATCTCGAACAGGCAGAACGCCAAAACTTTTATTTCGGTGCTAAACTTGTACGCGGCGCGTACATTGAACAGGTTTGTGAACACTTTTCGAATAAATTTCACTGAATTACGCGGAAATATCAAAGGGTTCTTATTCAGGAAAGAGCAAGAGCAGCAGCTATGGGTTATCCAGACCCCACTAACCCAACGTTTGAGGCGACAACCGAATCTTACCATAAGACGCTCATGGAGTGTTTGAGACGGATGAAACAATATAAGGACAAGGGGGAAGATCCCAAGAAAATAGGTATTATGGTCGCCTCGCACAACGAAGACACTGTGCGTTTTGCGATCGAGAAGTGAGTATCGTTACGATTTATTCTATCTATATTCTCACTACAAAAGAATATGTGTATATTTATACACACATATGTATATATATGTATGAAATAATATTTTTACGTCTTTTAGGATGAAAGAAATCGGAATTTCGCCGGAGGATAAAGTCATATGTTTTGGTCAATTATTAGGAATGTGCGATTACATAACATTTCCATTAGGTATGGAATAATTCTTAGCTGAAATATTTTTCTATAATATAAGATGAGATATGTATGCACGTGGATCGATATCGAACAAAATTTCTAGGTCAATCCGGTTACTCTGCGTACAAGTACATCCCGTACGGACCGGTTAAGGAGGTATTGCCGTACTTGTCGCGACGCGCACAAGAGAACAGGGGTATACTGAAGAAGATCAAAAAGGAGAAACGCCTGCTACTAAATGAAATCACGAGACGTATAGTGCGCGGCAAGCTCTTTTACAAACCCAAGGGCAATTATACTCCAGTTTGAGCAGTCAATCCGTTTAGTTGCACACAAACAGAATTTTAAGTATCAAATTTAAGTAGTGGTTGTAAATTATCGAGGACTCTCCTGAAAGAACTTGAGGCGAGCTCTTCTGATTGAAGTAACTTGACGGACCTGTTACTATGGTACTCGGAAGAGAGAGTAGCGTCGTGCACGCATCCACGTGCGTGAGTATGAATGTGAGACTTGAGAATATACGCTGTTATCTGTTACGTAAAAATCGCCTTAGTGTTGTATTGTCGAATGTACTGATGCTCAAAACTGCTTGTGAGTAAAGCTATAGTATGTATTCGTTACTCGTTTTGTTCGTCGTTATTAAACAGGATGCCAATGATAGTGCTATAATTTAGTTTCACTAACGAGAAAGTGTTTTCAAAAAGATCGAGCAAAGAGAATCCAAAACTAATCAACTCTTTAAAAAAAAAAAAATGGCTTTAGTATAAAATTAACGATGATTTTTTTAACGATAGTTCGCATATTTTCTGTGCACAGTATTAAGAGATCAACCGCATCAGTGGCTTTTTCGCAACAATGATGACGATTGGAAGAAACCTTATCTTGGTTTTTTAGCACATTTGTGTTTCCCAAGTTTTACAATTTTTTTGAGAATCTCGTCAAATATTTTCCATATATAATACACGTGCGCATCAATTATTTATGATTCGTGTTCCTCTAAATGTTTTATCGTCCATAGTATCAGTAAAAAGGGGGAGGAGGGAGAGATAAGAAAATAAATCCGGATGTAATTGTATAATTTGCTACCATCTTAACGATTAATGCTCACGATGAACATGCTAGAACATGTTTAGAACATTCGCGCTATATAGTTACTAAGAAGGAACAGATAGTAATTGTATCGCGTGCGCTTCCATTAAGCGTATAACATGAATGCCGATGAGCATTTTAATATAATCTGCGAAACATAGTCTGTGAAATGGATTATGTCTAAAAAAAGAGAAAAGATAAATAACACGCAAAAATGATTTCCTTCTTCTTAATTTGTGTTTAAAAATAACACGCGTATTATATATAAACGAAAAGATAATTTTCTTAGAAATGCGACGAGATAACAGGGTGAAAGTATAATAAGATTCAGAGGTATCTTAACTAGAGACGTGCGGATTTTCGAATGTTGGGTAGTATGAAATGGAAGAGAGAAAGAAAGGAAGACAGAGTCGTTCTTCGTAGTGCACGCGTATCAAGTTGCGATATAAAAGTGATTTTGGGCTGACCTGACGATAATGAAAGCCGGAGAGATCTGCGAGAAATGCGATATTTCTTTTGTGATACGTTAATAGTTGTAGTTAAGCCACACATATATGTACACGAGATATTAGTCCCACTTTGCTTCAGCCTAAAATTGCTTCTCGCGTTACACAAAAGAACAATAGTGTCGCTGCGCTTGTCTTAGCGCTGAGACACTACCATGTCTCCTGATAATTGGTAAGAAAAGCATTCGACGCTATCGGAAGAACACCGCAGATACTGTTATAAAAAAAAGAAATACTCCGTCATTATTGTTTCTTTCCAAGGAAGAAAATAAAGGAGGACCGATTTTTTATTTCGAAACCATAAATTCATGCCGTGATTCGAATAAGAGTTTTAAATATTAACAAATCCTTTTCTCATCCGTCATGAGAGAAATTATTCTTCGAAGAAAGGAATTATTGGAGATTAAACGATGATCTGATTCATGAAAAAGAGAATTGCGTCCAGTTTCATAATTCAGCGTTACTCGTCGATGTCAATGCAGGAGTAATTCGCGATTTTAAATATCACGATCTGCAATCAACGATCAGCAAGTTACGATATAATTTAGTCTGTAAGATTGTACAAGCGTTTCCGAGAAAGTTGCGTAGCATATTCTGATATTCTTAGGCCAGTATTTCCTTTATACTCGCGACGACTCAATAATGTATTCCTCCAGTCTATCAGTCCAATACTATTACTATCCTTTTTTTCTTTTTTTCGAATTCACAGATCGTCATCAGACTATACTCATTTTGTTTTTCTGGACGATCTGTTTGCGAATGAAGTCATTTATGATCTCCTATCTTTTTCTTGTATACATTATACGAAAGCGTTACGTTTATATAGTATGTGTGTATGTAGCCTACATTTATACACGACTGTAATAATTCAAACGAGATACGTTTGCGTAGAGTATTTACTCGCTTCATAGAGACGCACTGCGTGCGCGACATTGATCGATTCGTGAGAGGAAAGAAAGGGAAAGGAAGGAAGAGTTACAAAGCGAGTCTAAAAATTTTGCTGTGAATTATATGTTAAATGCAAATGCTTGAAAAAAAAGAGAAGGAAAGCGAGAAATATGATCGATGAAGAAATAAATAAAGGGGCATTGTTACAAGTTACACGGGCTAATAGCTAAAATGTTTCCATGTGTCTATGTGATATACTTGATGTCCATTGCGTGCGTGTGTGTGTGCGTGTGTATTTCTAAACGTTATACACTGATAAATTCAGTTAAAATCCAAGGCTTTCTTCAAAGTCCACTACTCGTGCCCTGTTACGCGAGAACGCGAGCTTCTACTCGCATTCCCGTTAAGACGTAAGATGCTGACAATAACTTAGATAGACAATGTTGACGTGTATATATATATGTATATGTATGTATACACACACACATATATATATATATATGACACGTATATAGTATAATAGATGTGTGATTTCTGTCACTTGCATTTATGTCTTATTGGAAATTGGAAGAGAGTGAAACGCAAAACCGATGATGCATCCCGGAGATGTGGAGGCGTTTATCAGAAATCGATGAAGAATCGTCACGATACTTTCAAATACTCTAATTTGAATACTCGGCGTTTTACTACCAAAGCGTTCGAGATATAGTAACGAGATTGATCCATTGCTGTCCTTTTTAGTGAAATATTTCAAGACTTTTGCGTTCTAAGACTTGGAGGTGATTTCGCCGATCTTTTTCCTTTCTTCATTTTATTCTTTGACGATCGTTCTCTCTCTTTTTTAATACGTGCAATCTTTTCTTTTTATTTAATCGACGCTTATGAGCTAGTTTGCAGTCCTGATGAGCTCTTAGAAATTTACATATCATTAAGTTAACGTTCGAGGAAGATCGACGAAATCTGAGTCTCAGTAGCTTTTAGTGTATTTAGTTTACGAAGTACAAAAATGAATAGAGAACCAACGATCTCTACGATGAAAGTAATTCCAAGAATATATTAAATATAATTGAAAATAGGGAAGGTAAAAAGAAATGCGTGCGATTTAGTAGGAATAGTCGAGCGTGTTCGCTTTTCCTTGGGAACGTTCGTAGGCAGACGGGTGATCTCGGGAATGGCGATTTTACGCGTCGCACACAAAAGTGAATTAAAGCAAGCGTCGATCGATATAAAATAAGATAATATTTATTATTTCATGAAATACAGATAATATATGCCTTTCCCCAATGCCACACTGACGATATACATTCCTTGCTCCGCATCTCGCTAGGACATTGAACGTTCTTTTCACTTCCCTTTTCTCCCTCCCTCGAACCTTTTTTCTCGCCCTGCGGACAATCTGCTGCAATTCTCGCAGCGAACCGGTAGTGAGCAAGTTTATTGCTGAGTAAAAAGTACGGATTTATCTACGCCGAGCGTTTTTGCGTCCTAGCGGTTTTTCTCTCCTTTCACACCTCCATGGAACCTCGTGTTCTTCCTTCTCTTTTTATCCAATCGCTGTCCTGCGATCCTTACTATCGGTCAAGCGTAATACGATTATCTCGAACATCGGAAAACATGTATGTGGCGTAAAAAAACTTTACCGTAAAATGAGATAAGTTTTTTATCGACGGAAACAGGGGTCCCGGAATGTTCCGAAAGTATATACAATGATCAAATAATTTTGCACTCCTGATTCGCATAAAATTATGAAATTAAATGTGATTACATTTTCGGCTTAAAATTACATTGTATAAATCTAATCGGATGATAAAATGCGATGTGAATCATGAAACGAAAAAAAAAAAAGATAGATGAAGCTCATGAAGGATTATTTCCTTCACGTTAAGGGATCTTGAAATTATTCTAATTTCACGGTTCTCACGGTGAAAAAAGTTACTCCGCGATACGAGTCGTCATATACTGAAAAAAAAAGAGTTTAATAATAGCTATCAAATATTGAGTGAAATAATTCCACTCAAATATTCGGTTAATATAATTTTAATTTAATCTAACATTAGATTAAAATTATTTTACTCAACATTTAGTAATCATTGCCAGGATTTTTCAGTTCTTTTACAAACAATATGCTACGTCTGTCATGGAAAAGCAAATGAAAACTAGGCTCCGTTTCCGCCGGATGATGTATGTCAGTGATATGTTACCCCCATCGTAATATCATTCTAATTTAACATTCGACTCGCCTACACTTGTAACATTAAACGAGATAACATTTATTGATTTCCCTTAAACTTTACGCGATTACAGTTTCGCAGTTTGCTTAGTTCCTAAGATTCGTAACAAAAATGTCAACTGACAGTCTGCGAACCGGGAGATGATCACGATTGCGGCTAATACAATCAGAGAAGATGTCCTAAATGTCTAAGTGCTTTAGCGATCGTATTTTCGCGATTTGCTTCGTAAATGGCCGCATCCTCGTCATTTTTTATCTACGGAAGATTAACGGAGATCGCCCATGTTAGTCTAATCCCGCTAATCGAAGGAAGATCTCTTCACACGCGACTCTCATCTCAACGAATTATAATCATAAAAAATTTTACCTGAATTGTCATGATATTTAAGTCGTTAAAGCTTACATTTATCGTTAGATTCGCTTCTAGGCGTCGATTTGTCTTCAACTTTGGGTGCGTTCCGAATGCGCATAAAGCGTGTGATGTATCGTTTTATCCTTCTTTATCATTTGGTGAACAATAAGGATAAATGATGCATCATACGCTTCATGCGTAACTCGGAACGCATCCTTTGACACCAATCGCGAATCACTTTGGCGGTCGCGCGCGTCATTTCAAATATGATCGGTATACAAAAGGACAGGAATCGTTTTTCACTCAAAAAATTGATGCATCCGCAAAGCTCTTATACGAGCATCTACGATAGATAGGGAGGGGTATGTGTGTGTGTGTGTGTGCGCGCGCGCTGGGTACGTATATGTATATATATATATATATATGCATATATATTTATATATTGGAAGTCTCACGCGGGGCGACTATACCTTGTGTAGCTTGGTTTGAAAGACATCAGGTACATCTCGACGTTTCGTTACGTCAAACGGTGATTCGTTCGAGTGATACAAAACGGTACGCTCGATATTAGAATACGATATATGTAGATTTACGTACGTGTGTATGTACGTGTATTCGCGTGCCGTTTTCCCGCTCTTCAGTCGTGTGCATCGATCGCACCGTAGCGGAAAAGCGTATATGTGTACATAAATATATATAAGTGTAAGTACATACACATATGTATGCATATATAGTCTGTATACACAGCCGTTCCTGGAAGAGCGATCCTCATTAATCGCGGCTCGAACGCGCCTGCAGAGAGCTTTAAAGCGACCATCGATCGTTGCTGTCCTCGCTCCATATTCGCGAGAGAGCGAGAGAGACGGAAAGACAGAACTCTCTCCCGAGAGTCGAGTGCTAAATAGGACACTGCAATAGCTCGCAATGCTCCGCGCTCATACGAGATATCACGTCGAGGCTGCACATTATACTGGATTACACGCTCTTTGCGACCATACTTTGAATCTTCAGTCGCAAAAGCAAGCTCGAAAGAAGAGTCTCTCTCTCTCTCTTTCTCTATCTCTCCTTCCGTGTCAAGCTGCGAAATTTTATAAAGTTTTACTTTTAAAACAGAAAGAGAGAGATTTCACCCCCGACGCGTTATCCAAAGCGTACGTATTGTATTGGAACATTACACTCGCAGCTACCATACTCTCGGAATGGCACGATGACGCTTGAAAAGCAGCGCGTTCGCGAGAGGATGCCTTCCTCACGAGAGGGTGAAGATCGAAGAGCGCTCCTTTGATCCTTCCGCAGTTTCGATGGCGCTCCTGCGACGTTCTGGTTCCGCGATCAGCAGCACCGGGTTCTTCGGCGGAGTATTATTATCATCGCTATCGTCGGGCAGGCCGTAGTCGGTGCGGCAAGCGAACGCGACGCTGTTCGCCCTACGTCGCGTCTTGACCTTTAATGTCGCGCTGCTAGACTGCGTCTGATGTTGCTGCTGTTGCTGCTGCTGCTGCTGTTGCTGCTGTTGTTGTTGCTGCTGCTGCTGCGGTTCCTGCGTCGTGAGGCCGCTACTCCTGCGGCTACCGCGTCTCGGTATCCCGGTCCACGATCTCACTCGGGCCGCGGTGCTGGATGGAACGGCTCGTTCTCAGTCCCCCCGGTGTCTAATTTCGGTCGTCGTCGCCGTCTCAACACTGGTGGATCCGCGCTCGCTCGCGGTTGAGTCGCCTGGTCATAAGGGCGCCAGCGTTTTGCCGCGGCGGGCGAGACGGCTTTCCAACCATAGGTACGGCACCACTGCCAGCACCAGGGTCACGGCAAGGCCTAGCACGCGATAACGGGTGCACACCGCGCCGTGCAGACTGAGCGCGAGGGTCAAGCCGAGCCAACGCCAGAAGAGCGACGAGGACAGCGGTCCTTGCCACGCGTTCGGATACAGGCCCATCACCAACGCTGAAAAAGTCAAAGATTGAGAAATCTCTTCTTTGGTTCTCTCCCCCTTTTTTTCTTACTCATTCTCTTGATAGAATTGCCGTTTTTACTTTAGAAGTCTCTATTATTACGTTTTTACAAAAATAAACAATTTTTAAGAATAGTGTAAATTAAGATATGCTATTTTCAATCCAACAGTATATTCTCTTCATGCTTTTTCTTCTCACGGATACAAAGACGATGTCTCGCCTCTTTTGTCTCGTTTTACTTGTTCGATTCTATATACACGCATAATTTCGTTGTGTCCCGCGGTAAAAAATTTTTTATACATTAATATATATAAATATGTATAAACATACATAAACACACATAAGTTTATAATCATGAATAATTATACATGAAATATGTCCATACATCTTTTTTGTTTTGTAAAATTACTTTTTAGTGTACTAAAAATAATAATATTGAAAAAGACATCAAAAATAGTTAATGGGACTATTTTTGCATTGTTTGTTTTAGAAAAAATCAAGTTTGGAAAAATGTAAAAAAATTTGCTCATACATAACTATGTATAATTTTACATGTAACTATGAGCAATTCTTTTACATTTTTCCAAACTTGATTTTTTCTAAAACAAACAACGCGAAAATTTTCCTTTTAATTATTTTTGATGTTTTCTCATTATTATTATTATTTTTAATACACTAAAAAGTAATTTTACAAACTAAAGAAGACTATATAAACATGTATGGACGTATCTCATACACAATTATATATGTTTATGAATATTTATATATGTTTATGTATGTTTATACATATTTATATATATTCATGCATAAAAAATTTTTTACCGAGGTGTATAGAATTGGCGAACAGTGCTCGCATTCTGACGAGATGCAGATGCATGCCGACAAAGCGGAGCCTGATGGAAATCGCTTCCGAAACTTTAGTTTGGCTTAATCGCAACGATCGAATTCACAGTTTCTGCGAACTATCTTGCAAGTTGCTTTCATCTTAAATCGCTTTACCACCTTTGTCCGCACGTTATAGAGGTCAAACAAGATACTTACTGTATATCAGAGTTTCCCAAATGGAGTTACAAACGCCCCAGGCAGCTGATATAACGTGGAAGAGAGCCGGGTCATCTCCCGTCGGTCTCCAGGTTACCAGAACAAGTAGAAGGCAGGCATGAAAAGCGAAACCCACGACTAGAACGGAGAAAATAGTCTGTTCTGTCTCTGATTCGAGATTAAGTCATTCGAATTAACATGATGGGACCAGAATCATCTTTACATTTAATTTTAAATTATTAATTTTTTACTTAATTTTTTTGCTATCAGAATTGCAGTAACTGAGTCCTCATTTGTTGGCAACTTGATGCCTTCACGATATGATAACACTGAGTAGCAACTTGCCAACAATTTGCCGATAACTTTAAACCGGGGTTCGACTCCCAGCCGAAATAATATTTTTTGCAATAAATTTATTTACAGTTTTTCAGCATATTAATATCTTGCTAATATAATGCCTGATTGTGCATCAAAATTATTTAAGAATTACTTGTCAATTTAATTTAATTCGTGATATTATTCCAGTAGTTTAATTGCGTTTATAAGTCCGGAAAACCTATTCGGCCCGCAGTTTGAAGGACTATAAATATGTTATATATGCAAGTACGTATATAGTATATATAATTCACATTGAATTATTTAAAGCATTAAAGATTTAACTTCGACCGGTATAGGCTGTTGAATTTCTATTATTAATTGTGTTTCTCACATGGTACGGTCTTATAAAATAAGATTCTTATTGTTTAAAATCGTCATCATCAAAATTCGTACTATTGCCATCATGTTGCCAAATAATATGCAGCATCATACAATGCTGTCATATTGTCGACAACGCAAGATAACATTGACGCAGCTATCTTGCTGTTAAACTACTGGCGATACATATACACGTTATTGTCTGCATGTTGCTACAATGTCGGTATATTCGAAATCGTTGAAGACAAATCTACGGCAAGTTGCCAGCATCATAAGCAATCACAGATTTGCTGAGACACGCTTTGCTATCTGGGTCTATTATTAGATGCTTATTTAGGTCCGACCGTGTGCTTGTTACTGAATTTGATATTTTAGAAATCACTTACCTACGACAAAGTACCTTTTAATATGCCTCAGCAACATCGAGAGCGTCGCAGCGGCCAGAGCTTGTAACAGAGCCAAACTCAGGAAACTTAGGGTCACCGTACCGGCGCCACCTAAGGCGCATACCACGTATGCCTGAACAAAACACAATATCCTCTTTAGAGCCACTTGACTTTGAAAAAATACGCCAGTTATAGTTGATTTAAGGAAATTTGGAGTCACTCGTGTTGCGTTTGCGAAATATTTCAATCGATTTATTACGGAAGATAATTCAAGATTTTGTTAATGTCTCGGAAAGAGAAAATAATTATGTATTTTCGACCTCTATGTATAAAATAACTCAATTAGTTGATAGCTATTTTGAAATACTTTCTTAACTTCCAGGAAGAGAAATTCACTGAATTAGATTAAATTATAAATATCGAGATAGTTAATTATGATATTCATAAATATCATTAAAAAAAATCGACTTGTCTCGTTTACCTCCATAAAATCGGCGTAAATGAAACCCTGTTCCAGCCCGATGAAGAGCGTGAGCGGCGCTGCGAGCTGAAGCTTCGGGTCCTGAAACGCGCATTTCACGGATTTGAAGATGTCTTTGACGCTGGCGCGATCGTGGTTCGTCTGAGGTTCCTGCAGTCTAGAGTCGAGGAACGCGCAAGATATTCCTAGACCGAGCACCGCCAAGCCAAGCCAGATGCTAACGAGGATCCTCGAAGTGCCCGACGTGATCGTCGGCACGTAAAGCGATTCGTTGTAAAAGTACATCTCTTCTGAACAGTACTCAGCACCGCAAAGGTCGGTGTTCATTATGCTAGATGGTATCAAATCCGTTAGCCTGACAAGGATCGCAGCGATGAGGCAACCTGGGATCGTAGAATAATATCAGATAGATTGAGTTGAGAGATTAGTTGAGTTCCTAATATGGTATAAATTAAAAATAAGCGGAACGCTGTCGAAAAATAATATAATTAATATTAATATATACATCAATTATTACGTATATAAATATGAAAACGATTAAAAATAAAATATTTAGGCACATGTTGAATTACAATAAACTAATTACAGAAAACTAATCAAGTAGAGATACTCGAAATAGAAATTGAAAAAAAAAGAAATTACTGAGTTAACTTAGAATTTTTGCAAAGATTATATACGATGTCAAATAAGGTCAAAAGAAATAATAGTTGCAAAAATACCGATTGCGAGGCCGATATCTTCAGCCAACTTGATTCCCCGATTGAGTCTTCTCAACAGACATTCGCGGCGCGTTTCATCCGCAGGATCTTCGGGATCGACGCAGACGAGCGCCAGGCTGGTCGCGGAGACGTTGATGTGCGATGTCCTCGCCAGGAAGCTCGAGCTAGCGCAGCAGCCTAGCATCACGTAGCTGGGCGCGAGTATGTACCTGGCGATGCGGAATAGAACGCCGTGTGTACATACAAATTAATGTTTAAGATATTCCATTTTTATCCGGTTCAATTCTTTTATCAAATCGTACCTCGGTTTAATATTTGGAACTGCTAGAACGCAGAGATTCAAAATTTAGAATTCGCAGCTTATATTCGTTTCGTATAATAAATCGTGTCTCGAGCTAATATTTGGAACGGCTAGAGCCTAAAGATTTAAAATGTAGAATTCTCTTCATTCATTTTATACGAATCAAACGATATCAAATTGGTGATTAATGTAACGAATATGATCGTCCATAAATTGAAAATTGAAAATTCGAATGAAACTCGACGTTTAATTACCGTACCATTTGGGATACAAATGCACGCCGACGAAGATAGCAGTGACTACGTGGCTCGCGGTGATGGCGAGATTCGTGCCGAGCCGTTGCACGACGATGGGTGCGAAACAGCTGGTGGCGGCTGCCATCACGTAGAGATAGGCGAGAAGCACCGGACCTAGACGGGGTTCGAACGCGCCCAAACCTGCCTGAAGCGGGAAAATGGGCAGCGTGGCGGCCGAGCAACTCGCATGGCTGAGCAGAAGGGCCGCGATGTGACGTAAAACGACCCTACGTGGTGGTCTGGGCCCGGACGGGGCCGCACGGACAGCTGCGATCAATCGGCGCACGGACGATGCACCTGCCGATGAGTTCATGGAGTCGCGACGCCGCCACGATAGCGCCGAGGTGCGCGTCGATCGGCAGGAGATCGGCGAGTATGCCGCCATGTGCTGCAAAAGGAAAAAAGATAAGAAAAAGGCGAGGAGTTTCTCCGCACGCATAATTTGAGGGGTAACACCTATGTAATCGGCTGTAAATAAGGCCTACGTTTGGGAATTTTTTTTTGTTTAAGGGGATGCTGGAGTGATCAAATTATTACATTACAGTCGTATAAAAATCTTCGAATTGATTGAACGGAATAAAAAATCCTTTTACAGGAAGTACATTAAAGTAGACGCAAAATTAGGAGGTGGTGCAGTGGATTTTAATATAAGATCCACTGCACCACCTCCTAATTTTGCGTCTACTTTAATCCTGTAAAAGGATTTTTTATTTTCTTTACTCAAATATCTATAGAAATACGTAGCCGTTTTTGAAAATATCGATTTTTGACAAAATGACGAAAGTACAAACAAAAAGTTCCATTTTCGTCATAAAAATAGTCGAGTAAAATCAGCTGTAACTCAAAAAATTTGTAACTTATAAAAAAATTCTACGTATTTCTTTAGAAAATGTGTGATTTATTAAATACCGTTAAAATTTGAAGTAAATGGGTTAAAAATTATTTGAAGTTCTACTGCTAGCCAACTTAAAAAATACTGTTTTGAGAAAATCGCGTTTAAAGTTTTGAATGTGAATACTTTTAAGTTAACGATTGAATTTTTGGGAGGCTATAACTTTCGAAAAAAATTGTGTATCGCAATAAAATCACTTGCACTTCATTTTTGAGACCCTAAAGTGTATTTTAAAAGGAAAAAAAATTTTTTGAAAATTTTACATAAGTATTACGCCTTAATCGTAATAGCACGACACAATCGGCGAATCTAAAAACTCGGCCAACGGAAGCGCTATAATCATCCGATGAAGATTAGAAACGGTAATCTCACACGTGGAACGCTCAATATGCGTACGCGCGACCACAACTTTTTTAGACCTCGACGTATTCTCCGAATGTAATTTCTTAGGATTTAAATTTAGATCTAGCTGTTAATCTAGGATTTCAATAAGTAACGTTAGATCAGATTAACTTTGGATTAAAATCCAAGTTCGCGACTTCTAAATGCATTTGTACATGAAAAAAATATAACTTTGTTAAAATATTTAAAAACTTAACTATTAGGCTTTACTTAAAACTCCGCTTGAGCGTCCTACATTATTTAATAGTTTTCAACAAAATTACTTTCAGATTTATATCTAGCTAAAGATTCTCTCTTCAACAAAACTGTTCTTTTCATATTATGAATCTTAAATCATTTCAGCTATTGCCAGAATATTTATAAAAATTAGGGCGGAAGCACAGAGTTAAGCACAAAGTATAACGCACAATGTATAAGAAAATGAATCAAAGTCCTTCATTTCCTTCCTTTTCATGAAATATAAGAGACTCTGATTGATTGATTTTCTTAATGCTTTATGTGTTATGCAAAAGTCTGTACTCCGACCTTTGTGAGATATGGTCGACTTGAGCTATCAAGATCTTTCCAAGTATTAACAATCGATCCACGATGTGTTGGTACCTCTAACATGGTATCGTTGTCGCAGAGAGTAGAATGATGATGCCCGCTACTTCTTGCACGTTTATGCGAATGCGCCAACGGCGGTGGCTGCGGCGGCAATCGCGCCGGACCAAGACTGCCGATCGGCGCCGGTTTATACACCGGGCTCCCCAGCTTGTCCTTGGACAGCTCGTGAAGATTTGGCAAGGAACCCATCGTTATCACCTCGCCGCCGTTCTGTCACTTCGCGATTACTCGTGTGATGCTTCCTCACGCGCGATCAGATCCCTCACTCGATCTCATTACGATCGGGTAATCGCCGTCACGATCAAAGTTTTTCTCATCTGCGAGTTGGTCATCTAAATAGAACGGACTTTTCATAACAAGTGTAACAGTGCTGATCTATTTTCATATCAATTAAACGTTTCTTATAGGTAGATTCAAAGTACGAAGTTAAAAATTTTCTAATATAAAATTTTTCCAAATGTGACACTTAACGAAATCATCTTGTTCTTCATTTATTCCTAGTAAACAAGAAACATTTTGGAATATTTTAGCAACATTGCAACGCAACGTTAATTGGAATGTTATAATGTTGCTGCAATGTTGCTGATGTGTTTCAAAATGTTTCTTGTTTACTGGGATCTGAAACGCTTTGAAAGACAAGAATATCTCGTATACATACGAGACTCGACACGTTTTAAGAAACACATCTGGTATCATATATTGAAATGAAAATTATTCGTCCCCGCGGCGGTCTCCTTCAAACGTCAGATAAGAAGTCACTTAATGTCGGATAAGGAAGTTAGCTACGAGAATCCCGTGCATCTTGCGTAATTCATTCGAACGATACTCGTCACTCGTGCTAATTAGAGATGGAGAAAAAAAGCAAGAAAAAAATTCAAGAACCAAGAATAAAAATCGTAGCGGTCACCCGCGCAGCCTTGAACGAGAACTTGCTGAGCGAGACTAGCCATCGGCGTAAATGCCGTAAATAAATGAGACGCATAGGAGCGACCTTCGTCGAACGAACGGTTTCGACCAATTGCGGTGATTAACGATTGGCAATCGGTAATAATCGACTGAAACCGGAAATCTAGAAGAATGTAAATTTACGCGCGGAACGGGTCTGCGATCGCGTCATTCACGATTTTAATTAACCTCGGCAGAAAGGGGAAAAGGGAAGGGAAAAAAAAAGAGGAATAGAACATCAGAGCATGATCGCACGACACGCTCACCGCAAACGCGTCGATTGTTATCTGCTTATGCAACGTGAGCCTGTAACATAAGTACCTGCTTTACACGCGCACCTCCCCTTAGCAACGCGCGTGATACCTTTTATCGGACGATCTAACTAGAAACGATCGGATTTACTTCTTGTCTCTATTCGTATTTTAATTTGTAACTGTCATTTGTAACTGTCTTTGGATTAGCCTCGCGTTAGTTGAGCTAATGACTGGATTAACCTCGCGTTAGTTGAGCTAATGGGAATCTCATCTTGGATAAGATCGGAACAATAATTTTCTAATTATCGCTCGTAAAATAAATGGAATTTTCAAACTATACGAATTAGAGTAGCTTCAAAGTGAAGTAATTAGCATCATCTGTTCTCCGTTTGTTTCTGTGTTAATGTCACGAGGCGATTCGTCTCCGAGTTTATTTAAACATTCAGCAACGTAGAACTTTGTTCTGCTAAAATGCATATACGACATCCATGAGTGCTTTTTTCGAAAAGTGCAGCGTTCAAGTTGACATTTGCCGAGCAAGATCATCGAGAAGTTCTCAATTATTGAGAGGAAGTTTCGGAGAGTAATCAATAGTTTTAAAAGCGACTTGGCTGGCTCGGCAACTCGAGATTCACAGCCGACTATTCGCATCTCTCTCGATTGTAGATTTGGTCGTTCGATTCTGTCGGTCTTCCGTTATTTCGACGAGCGTGCCGCACGCGATGGCAAAACTCTGACGCGTGGAAATCTATCGAAAAAAACTCGCCGCTAGGTGGGTGTAGCCAGTAGACCGAAGGTGAACTAGTTTTCACACGTAAAACTGTTCACCCGGCAACATACGACTCACGTTTACGCGGAATTAGTGGGAAATTCAAGACCGGAGAGGAAGGAGAAGAAAAAAAGATGTAATTAAATCAGCAAACTGATCTCTTTTCTGTTATAGTAAAAAATAAATAAAACAATTTATCTGAGATAGATAAAACAATTAGAGATCTGTTAATAGATTGTTTTCTGGTATAGTACTCTTTAAATTCTTTAGAGTGAAATCTCACTCTTAAAGATGAAAAATTTTGTCGCTGTTTTTCAATAGTGGCAGAATGTTCACTCTCTTTGGAAAGTAAAGTGAGATTCCACTTTAAATTTAGGGACTGAAAAATCTAATAAAATAAAACAATTATATTCGTATATGAGAAAATATGATATGAGAAGATATGAGAAAAATGATCGATATCGATGGAAGACGAAGAGTCGCGTGAGTTCCTCTAAGGAGAAACGGGCTCTGATAGTCGCGGTTCTGGCTTTTCCCGCCATCAGGTACCCTGAAAACCGACGGGCGCGCATTGCAGCTGCATTGTGTGTGCGGTATTCACTGCGTGGATGCTGAATGCATCTCGCGGCGTTGCAACGACGTGCGTCACAGGGGAAAATGCGGCCGATGCGACACGATGCTGAATCGATATTTCGTTTTTCAGCACTGTCCGCGCTCCTGACCTTGGTTATTATTCTCGCGTCGGCCCACGTAACGTTAAAGCTGCCGATAATTACGTGGGTTTGCGTCGCTGGACTCGGGAAAGAGGTACGACGAATGAGAATGAAAAAAATGCTGCAAACTCATTACCTAGAGAGAAGCGAGGTCCTAGGGAGACCCCGCAATCAATAGGAGAAAAAAAATTGGACTATAAGATTCTTATTTTCGAAAATCTCATTTTTTTTAATAATGCCAATTAATTTTCTTCTATAGGAAATAATTAGACGCTTAGTTGTCGGGATGATACTGAAAAATATCGGTAATTTTACGTTTCTTCGTGTTTAGCTGCCTTTCGACTGGAATATGATTATTTCAACACGCGGAGCATTTGATCGAACAGGACAGCCGCGCGCAAAGCAGGGTTTATTTTTCACGCTACGTTACGCATGACGGTAATAACGTGGCTGTCGGCGAACATAACCGAAGACAACGGAGTGATGCAGCAATTTATTGTACACGTACAACCGAATACCATATATTTAGACGAAGAACCGGGTGAACGTATCAGACGAAACGTCGGAGAGACGATTTTAAATTTTATTCAAGAAATCGAAGGAATCATAGCGATGATAATGGGATAAAAAGTGCGGGTTCGCAAGGGAAGGAATGGAACTTACGTTTTCGCATTTACGCAGCTACCCGGCCGAACAGTCGCCATGGTCCCCGCCGACTAGGAGCTGCCCAAACTCAACCAGTTGTTTCGCAGTGGATCGTCACGGAGCGTGATTGCCCCTTGTGAAACCAAAATTGTTGCTCTCATCCCGTGCAACAGCTACGAACTCTGTCATCAATGTTCGCAATGCGTCAATTGAAAATTGTCTTTGCACGTCTTTAGAATTTAATCAAAGACGCGTCGCGTCTTAAATGATAACGACGCAAAATCACTATTACATTCTCGGCACTCGCGGCACTCGCGAGATTTCAGAGTCGATTCGATGAACCGTCGTTGCGAATATTCGCATCCCAAAGTTGGACGTCAGATATCTGGGATTTGATAGGATAATCAATCATATGAAGCGAAGCTTGATGCACTCGTGTAAAGATAATGGACGCTTGCCCCGCTCAGGATCGAAATCAAATTGAATTCGCGAGGTCGTGCACGAATAAATCGGTACGAATTTAATGCACCTGCGAAACACTAATAATCGATGATTATTGAAGGCGACAAAGTTGAAACGAAAATCTCCGTGTCGCGAGCAGATTGCCATAAATCACACGCGGATACCACGGTATAGTCACTCTGGGGGTGGCTCATCATATTAATATCGATAATGAGCTCTGTTAAATATGAAGCAGACGAAATCGAGAAGGACGCGAAACGCGATATTCAAAACTGACGATCAATCGCTGATCCCTTTTCGGGGGTGCGCGCGGAGGTTTTCGCTCCGGATTTAATTGATGCTCCTCTCTACACCCACGAGTAAGTCACGCAGGGATGTCAGATCTCGGTATCCCTCCGGGAGATGTAAACACAGTCCAAGTCGGTGGAATTCCGATCCTCTCGTTTGATGTCGTACGAACTTGTCTTTCCAACTTCGTAGACGCGAATGGGACCGCGAATGCGAGTTCTTACGGGATCGCAACCGACGGTAACCCGAAATACCGATCAGCAACAGGATCCAGATCCCGGGCCGACGAAGGGACGACTCGCAGAGAGGCTCGCCTCTCTGTACCCGCAATTCGGTGTCGCTCGGTTCTGCTCGAGCCAGCTCGGCTCGGCCTCCTCTTCTGATGGTCGATAACAGCGAGAGTGCGTACTGAGGGCGCGCTCCTTTGATTCCCACCGAATCTCTCCCGAGTGCAATTTCCCTCCGAATCTTATCCTAGCACGCGAAAAATCCTGCCGCTAATCTTAATTGGTCAATTAACGGAGCTGTTATTAATTTGATCATCGGCAAAATCAGTCGCATGATTCGTTTAGATTTGTTTTCACATAAAGGCTATTAGCTTGTTCGCATTTGTGCAAGTTTATAGTTACAGCTTGAAAATTATAACTTGCGAAAGGGGATGTGAATTCGTTTGAATTATTAAGGAATAAAAAAATATTTATATAAACGCGTTTAACGACAACTGGCGTGATATATGTATGCTTCCGTTACGGAAACAAAGCTCATCGACGAGTTTGGATTAATTTATAGTATCGAAATCCTGCGGTGAAAATTAGGTCGGGGTCACACGTGAACGATATTAGATCCTGTAATCAGTATGTATTTCCAAGTCACTAATTACCTGCGCTGTTGCAGGGACGAAAGTTCCGCTCGCGAATCTAGCGGCCTTCCACGGATATGCACGCGCCGCGAGCGTGCAGTTACATCTTTCGATTCTGTCGTCGACAGTAACGTCGATTGTCGCACCTGTCACGCGTAACTGTCACGTTTTGCAACGGGGGAAACGAGCGCGAAGTTGAAGGCGATTCGCTGTATCGGCAGATCGTAAAATTAATTGAATCGGTAAAGGAAAAAGGGAAGAAGAGAACGCACGTACACCGTTTAAATTACGACAAAAAATAAAAACAATTAAATGAATCTATAATATTTTTCTAAAATGGTTTAACAATATTCTTCTTTTATTCTTTCTATCCAATAATTCGATGATCAGAAAAAAAGGATCGACAGATGTTCAATCATTGTCGATCAAATCTGAATTTATTCAGACGCTTCGACGCTGTATTTTTAAGCTTCCGCTACATTTGACTTGGCAAAAAAAAATTTCATCCGGCTATATCCGACTGTACGTCCTTCGACGATCTCAAAATTGAAAGATTCGACAAGAGATCGTAAATCTATCAAGCAGCGCACACATTTATGACATCATTAATCTATTCATGTATTAAAATTTATCGCAATTGTAATAATATAGTATTAAAGGGCTGTAATTATTGTATAAGAATTAATAATTATATAATTAATAAGATAAAATGCTCGAAATTAACAGTAAAGTTTATCGAGTAAACATAATTTTTCCTTATGAGACAAAGTTCTAAATCGAACTTGCGAACAAAGATGAGCCCGAGTTCTCGAAGGAGAACGGCGCGATGAATAATCATGGTATGCGATATTATCCTATTTAGCCTGTCCCGAAGACCATGTTCTTCGATTAACGATCGCGATCGCGATCACGACAACAGGACATGCGCGTCCTGCTCCCGCCTCTCAAGGCGAGACGACAAACCGCCTTTGTCATTATACAGCGGCGAGCCGTGATACATGAGAGAGGCACGGGGAAGTGTGTCAATGTTACGGCGATCGCATGCCACGTATCTGTGCACTTAGGTTGGTGCGTGCCGCTCTTCGAGCCGCGGGGTTAATCACCTCGTGCCGCTCATTATATTGTGCTCATAGCGATCGACCGAAGACCGACTGTTCCTTATAGGCTGGAAGTGATCATAAAAGTTGCCAGACTGTTTCGCAAGTTCGAAATAAAATTATAAGATCGAGTTAAGTCGAGGTCCTACAAAGAGCAACATAATTATCTTTCAAATGTACCGAGATAATTACATTCTCGCGCAGGCGTCTCCAAGTACGGCATACGTTAATTATCCGGATGAAACACCCGTGATACACATCTTTTGCTTTCAATGCGCGTAACTTCGCGTTCCGAAGGACTCCGCCGTTTCCGCGACGCGACGAGGCGTCTCCGCGCTCCTCTCTGTACAGTTCTCCCGTATCGTTTTCCAGCAGCGATGATGTAACGATTAAGGTGCAAGCGGTCAAGTTGCGACGCGACCTTGAAAATCGAAGATCGAGAGTATCCCCGCCGTCGATGCTGATCGTGGTGGTGGTCTCCCACCATGGCGAAGCGTAGTCACATGCATACACCATATCGCGAGTCCTGTCCCCTTCTTCCTTGCGTTAGACGCACGGAAGGAAGGCCCGATCCTTGGACACTTTCTTATAAATGTACGTTGGTCACCAACTCGTGCCTCATTTGACGCTCCACCCTCCTGTACGCGGAGGGATTAATCCGCGGGACCGTTCTGTTCTCTTATCACCTGGTTCCTCGCCCGACTTCCCTTCGTCATCGCGCGTCGCGTTGATCCGGTGTCGAGAAGTGGATTCCTTTCAATTTTTTCTGGAATTTAAGATTCTCGGTTTTACCTGTTAAGGATACTTGTGAGTACTCTATCAGCTTTATAAATTTTCGACGGAATTTCTGACGGAAAAGTTAGAAGTAGCAATCTTGTTCATCTTTTCGAGCAATCAAAAGAACGAAAGCTCTTCGCAGCTTTCCACTTGTTGAGAGGCGAATGAGAAGCTTGCTGCATCGGCAAATCGATAAAGCAGTTGCTGAAAGAAGTTTAATGTAAAGATATTACGAGGTTTTATATTTCCTTTTTTTTTTTGAATCTGTTTTATTCCGGAGATTTAGATCGAACGTTCTTTCTTGTAGCATAGCAATGTTTTTGTATCAATGCCCCTAAACTATACCTTCCTTTCAACCTCTTTGACTATTCAATTCTAACAGAACTTGTTCCGACAGAATTTCAAGCATTAAAATCTAATACGTCACACACTTTTACGTTACAAGGAAATCAACTCTAAATTAGCTAAAGCGATCGTATTGCACAATGTTCGGCGAGCCGGATTTCAACAATTGAATTGGGACTGAATAAGAAAAAAAGTAGTAAAAGTATCGATTGAACGTGCGAAGGAAAGACAATACCTAGGACTCTGGACATACGCCTTGTAATACGAATATGCAATACGAAGAATCGTGTTCGTGCATAACCGTTTGTTCCGCACTGCTTATAAAAAACTGTTCGGAATGTCAACAGACAGGAATATAAATCCGTGCATATGTATCCATACATGAATAATTAAATTTATGTATTTGTTATTATGCAATTTTTATTTAAAGAAAATATAAAATGCAATGAGTTAAACAAATTATTTTTACTACGATGCATTTTCCCTGGTAGAAATTCCATGCATTTTTTGAACAATTACTAAACAGTTATACCAACTTCTGTCTAGTAACTGAGAAGGAAAACTACTTAAGATCCCAATCAGGATGTAACGCTTTGTTTGCAGTTACTGCATACAAAAGTTGCATAAAATCTGAATCCATTTACTGAATAGAAACACAACAAATGGATATTAAATTGATTAATAAGCAAGGCAACTGCTCACGAAATGGACAGAATAAAACTCTATCAAGTTCTTGTTCATTTCCTACTCAGTATTGGCATAACTAATGACAATACAGTAATATTAGATAGTAACTGGATAGAGTTTAAGAAAACTGCATACATTTCTGCCAGGGTTCCAGGGTTTCTTTTTAAGTCGTAGACATTTTTTTTTTCAAGATTATCCTAAAATTACAACTCTCAGTAATCCGTAAATAACAAAATTTTTTCTCATTGCATGCGGATGCGACTCTCGTTCTCGACTCTCGTTCTCAATCGCGCAATCTCGGTGGTCTCGGCGATTAATTAATTAATACGAATGCGATTATCGCCTCCGCTGCTATTCTGCCGCTGTTCCGCGCTATTTGCGAGGCTCGTAACTCGCGATACGCCTTAGAGGCCCGTTAGATCCGCATCCAATCCGAGATGCCGACGCACGTTCTACCCATAATGTCTATTCAACCTTCAACTTAGCGCAGGTCTCTAATTAAAACTCTGCTGCGATCGCTTTGTCAATAGCTTTGCAGATCGTATGATTTACGATTATCTCTATTAAATCTTCATGCAATCAAATATTAAAAAATTCACGTAAATTATCGATTGTCCTAACATCTATTTTGTTGCTTCAGTCTTATTGCACTGGCTTCAATTTCGCGAATGTACATACGTCTAAATCTCCTATGAAAAATGCATGCTCATAGAAAAAAAAGGATAAGAAAATATCCACGTGTAAATGTTCGTAAGATGCAACGAACGCTAATGCTCAGTTAATTATTCGAATAATAACGGATGATAAATGTACATCGCGTAAATCCATTCAGTACCATATATTGGATTCGTGAAACTATGAATCAGACAGTTTGCAATAAATAGTAATATCATAGATTTGATGGTTAACTTTTACGTAATACACGCTTATTAGATATTATACAAGAATTCAATACGTCTTCCAATAGCGTATTAATTGATATCAATTGATGAATTGATATTCATCCAAAATAACTATTTCGCTTACCTACTTTAGTTACCAATTATTTCTGCTACTGTACTTATTGCTTCTACATGAAAAGAACGGTTTCGTTCTTTGAAGCATCTATAAATTTAGCTAAATACAAATTTGAAAATATTTTTGTTGGATCAAAATCAGTATGTAGAACATTCAAATTGCTTGCTAGAATATTAAATCACTGTTTGCAGTATTATCATCATGCTTAATCGTCTTATTATTAGATAATTGTTTCATCTAACAAAACACTTTCAGATCTATATCTAATTAAATATTTATATATCTCAACCGTTCTTTCCATGTAATTATGATCATGCATTTACGAGATCGTCTGTTCCTGTGACTATTTGCAGAACGCGACGCTTACGTTTTTTTGACGCAATTAAATTTTCTTTTATTTAGAGAAAGAAATGAAAATCAAATACGATATCGAGGATAGTGTTGTAAGATGCTCGGAAATTTAATCGTTAACAACGAAGATATATATTTTTCATTTACTCTCGGTATAAAACTTTCACCGAAGAAAGGTCGCCGCCGAGACTCGTAAGAGCGCTTTGCACGCTTCGCGGAACGCATCCCGTATAAGCGACGACAGTGTCCGTCGCCCCGCGGAATCTCTCGAGTGACGCTGGAAAAAATCATTAAATCCAATCGACCGGAAAACACGGGAAGCTGCTCCCTTTTTCCTCCCTCCCCCCCGCGGGGAAAGCGAGACGGCGAATGGCTTTTAATCGATCGGCGCGCGCGAACTCTCCTCCCGAGGCGATGTATAAATAATGTATCGAAAGGGAGAGCCGAGTTACTGTAAAAATATGTTGTATTCACGAAAATCGCCTTGCAAATCGAGGTCCCAAATCACGAAAAAAGATTCGCGGATTTGGATGGCAGATTGCCTCATTGATAGTCTCGGCGAATGAAATTAAGATACATATCTTCAGATACAGATGCAATTTAAATACGAATTATGCATTCGAATCATTCATATTCCGCAATTCACTATTTATTGTCCTTCGTGTATTATTCGCGCGTTATTCGAGCAGGATGCGTGTACCGTTCCGCCTTGACGCGCTCCTCCTTCTTTTTTGTTACTTTTCTGTGCTAATTGCTGACAACGCGTGAGCGCACAGCGCATAAATACAGTGATGTTCTGTATCGTGAAGTGCGAGTCTACGTAAATAGATCATCACGAATACGTTTTTAAACTATGCTAATAGACAAAAAATATTTACGTAGAGAGATATCTTCTAAAATATTTTTCGAAGCGACGATTCTCGTCTATCTATATAACTGTGAAATAATAGAGATGATAGTTGAATTTTATCTGGAATCTACAAGTTTCTACGAACATGCAATTACGCGTTCATTAACAATAAACAGTTTTCGACGCGCCCGTCTGTTCCGCTCGTCATTACGTTGACGTTGCGGAACGGATTTTTATCCATCATTTAAATATCTCCCTTTTAATTGGTAATGATGTAACACAAACTAATGGCACTTCTGCGTAATAAAATATAGGTACGAGCTATATTTTATGATGTAATTATAGCTGTTCTCCTCCCTGAGATATTGCAATAACATCATATATTCGTGTATTTTTCCGACTTCCGCAATTTTATTGTAAATCTGCAAAATCATCTTCGAAACGCAATTAAAGTCCGAATCCCAGTTAAAAATAAATTCTTTTAAGTCTCTGTTCGCCATGATAAACATTGCAAACGATTAAATTACTAGCCAAAGCCTTAAATTTTTTTAAATCAAATTTTTGATCACTTAATTTATTATTATCTCATATCATTTCGATATCTTTTTTATAAGAAATCCAATGAGATTCTGCGAACATTAATAAGATAATTTCAATCCTCCGAGGCGTGAAAAGCAATTAAGCTTGAAACCTATTCGGTCTCAGAGGTTTTAATTACAAGAAATAATTTAAAATAATCTATGATTGGCAGACGATATCGCTTATTAAATTTTTTTTCTTTTTAATGCTAGAAACTTACTTACAAGCATTTATTTTACTTACCAAGCGAATAAATTACTATAAAAATAAAAAGTGATGAGAAACCAAACATTTAATCCACTCTAAAAAATATGATAATGAATTTATAAATATCATGGGTTTTAAATCATTAAATCCACACTATATTTTTTAGAGTATCAGTAAGAAAGGCATAATTATTAAAAATTTTTTTAAATTCAGAATCCTATCTTTTACACAAGGAATATAATCTATTAATCTATTAATCTAAAAGATTATATAAAGAGATCAATAATGAAAATTAAATATTCCAATAAAAAGTGAATTTCTTTACTCGAATTTGTTATCCGACGGAGTCGACTAATCGTGGATACACGTGTAGTGTTCAATAATGATGAGATAATAACAGCAGTTATCTCGCTCAATGAAAATAAATTGTATATATTATATAAAGTAATTTAAAGTTATCGTCGACCGTCCTCAGATGAAGGCGTAATAGTGAGAGACTTTTTCGTTCAAATTATCCTGCACGTGTAAAATAGACGTAGAATCTTTGCTTGTACCAATATTATTATCTCGGAAAGATTCCGCAAAAAGATACAACGTGTAATTTCATGTAGTACACCCGCTTATTATAACGCTATTTATGGTCTATCTATCACCGTCGCGCAGTTAAGGATTTTTACATTAATAAATCATAGCATACGATAATCTTTCGATAATTTCTGCTTTGCGTGATTATTGTCCGTTTCTACCAATGCAGTTTAACTTTAACTTGGTTCAACTAACCCTCCATCTTTTTCTAGTTTTAAGAATAAGAAAAAGATGAAGAGTAAGTTGAACTGAGATTAAAATTAATCTACATTGATAGAAACGGGCTTATGATGATCAATATATAAACCGCACTCGTGCCCTTCAACTACAATAGTTTGACGACAAATCGTCAAGACGGACATCAACTATTCATATTGACTAAGGCAAATAACTATGCTTTGCTTGCTTATCGTTAGCTGTATCAGCGTACCGTTCGCGCGTGTAATTACAGCGGATTAAATTACAGATTCGTAATGCTTCTCTGCATCGAGCGGACCTCGTCGCTGACAGAAGCAGTTTCTTGAGACTCAATCGAAACCGTCGCGAAAAACTATAATTTGTCGCTGTTAACGCAAACATTTCGAGACTATCGCGAGACTAGACGTTATTGCCAAGTTTACACCTTGACATTCACTAACGGTCATCGATTAACTGCGAAAGATGAATTTTCCAAGCGTGTCTAATCGCACTTTTTTTGTCGATATCGGAATGTTCGTGCTATTCGAAACATTCGGCGAGTGGTCACGGCTCCTTCATCGATCTTTCGTTTCTTCAAAAATATCTTTGTCATCTCTACGTCCGTCGCTTTGTTAAGTGAAGCGTGATATAGTTTTTGTTCATGATCGATTTACCTATGACGTTCTCGTTTAGCTTCGTCAGCTCCGTCTTCGTTTCATTCGCCTTACGTAATTTATCAAATTAGCTCGACGTATATAATATAATGTAAATTAAAAGAGAATAAAACAATTAAGAAAATTCAATTGTATGAAAATTAAGAGTTAAAGATTAACGCACGTCGTTGATTTAATCTATTTTCGCCTAACGAATTAAAGCATACTGTTTTATCGTGACGTGAGTTGTATGTTACTACAACCGTTTTAATATTAACGATACATACGAATGATAATATTCGTTCTATCTCAATGATTTTGGTTCAAGGTAATCCGGCACGAGGCTAATGTCTTAAGCTTCTCACACGTGTACGAGAATATGAGCTTTTCAATCCTCAACATCTACTCCGTCTTTCCCTCTTTATTTGCTTCTCCTCCGAAGACGACACTCATGCGCGTGATTAAAACGACGTCAACAAAATTACGATAATAATGAATGTCGTATAATTTTTGTTATGCGAGATTGCACGTGTCAATCGCGGCACGTGGCGAGAGTACGCTCGTCGTCGTTGATTCTTTAAACCCTTTGAGTCACACTTTCGCAAAATATCACGATGACGTAACGAAGTATACCATATAATCTATGGCATAACGTAACTTTAACGTAGTTCAATAACAGTTATACATCTTCAGCCGCAATGTTTGCAATTCGTACATACAACTGCGTTATCTCAATTTGTATACAAGGCATTATATTATTTTACAAATTAAATCATCAATTGGTAAACTATATTTAGAAATACGCGCACATGATGTACATTCCGTATAATTAAAGTAACAATTTAACAATGGTGTGCGCGTTTCGTAACATTATTAGCAAAAATTTTCCTATAGGATGACGATTATTTCTTACAAAGAGTACATGCAGCATCTGTATTCAATTAGACCGTTCTCCGATTGTGTCCCGGACTCGTCTGGCGCTGGTGAACGTGTCACGCGGAACCCGTTCGCGTCACTCGCTTACGTTTAGGGTCGATGCAACGTGCCGTTCTCGCGGAGGCAATTGCATTACACGTAAATCGCACCAGTGGAGACCTTGAGCGATCACCGGCACGGTACTGACCGGCGTAGCCGCTACCTCGGTCAGGATATTGAAATTAAAATACTACTGTCGATCGATCGCGAATAATAAAAGCTCTTTCGTAACGACGGTCTTCTCGCCGCGTTTCCGATTGCGATTCCCGTAGTACCGTTTTGGCGATGAATGTACGTGACTGATGATCCAACATCTTTGATATTCATAAACGATGCGAGCCCTTAGCGAATGATAGAACAGCATATTTTTCTTCTGAAAAGATCAAATGTAATAGCGTTCTAAGAAAATCACATTAAAAATTCAACAACCGAGAATTTCTTACCATGAGAATTCTTAAAAGTACGATTCCCAAGCCAAGCGCGCTGATTGAAGATGCTACTAGATTCTTATGGAAACGTAATTCAATTCGGCGTAATTTATTGCGTGCACGCGTACAACGTTTATCCGCATTCTATTCGACTAATGCAAGCTCGCGGATAAAAGCGTCGATTGCGCGATAACTGATACCTTCGCCGACAAACGCGACAGCTATAATTCTCGTCGTATGCTAATTATGTAACTTGGATGGCAAGCAATCTTGTAATGTGAGTAAGAAAGAATCCTTCTTGGAGATATGCATTTTCCAGATCAAACAAAGATGTTGCGCTCGATGATGCAAAAATTTGCGTTCCTCTACAAGCCTTACGCGTTGGCTTTAATGTCAATCGGCTATATCATAGCAGAATTGGGCCACTTTCTGATAGGTAAGTTCTAATGGTAGTGTGTTCTTCGTATTTTTTATGAATCTAATTCACTCTCCAGAACTTCTAAAGTAAATCTCATTCTTAAAGATAGAAAACTGAGCAACTCTGTTTCAAGATTGGTTTAATTTTCACTCTTTAGAGTGAATTTCACTTCAAACAATTTAGAGAGTATGTATACGTTGGTCGATGCTGTGCACATTGATCAATTTCGAACGATTATATTTCGTTATCAGAATTTGAATTCTTTTACCATGTGTTGTTAACTACGTATGTTTTCAACGTATATGATTTTTTATTAAAATGGCAAGGTGTGACGAGCAAAGCGGTCGCCGAGGACTTGCACTACGGTGACATATCCTGCCAATTTAATTCGACGACGTTGACGGTGGCCGACCTTCCGGTGCCATGCGAAACCGCGAAGAATTCTACCTAGTAAGTTTTATTAATATCACCTGCTCCAAAAAATCCCGGTTGGAAAAACGTTCCGCCGAGAGACTCACGTGTAACTGTAAGCACAATTAGCTTCTTTCGCCGTTTCCTCTCGCAACTCGATTTCCTTGTAGGAGATTGATTCATCGCGCGTGGCTTAATACCGCTAAATCACGTATCAATAATAAACCTGAGATACTGTTACGAGATGCTTGGGAGAAGACACGCGACTCCGCGAGATTAATCGTTAACGTTCCAGAAAAACTACTATAAGTGCCGCAAATAATTTTTCGCGTGATTCACGAGATGCGAGATGAATCTTCGTGTAAATGAATTGTACGTAATTTGCACGATAATTATTATACTGGCAAATCGATCACGTGGATCGAGGTCTTGTTGTACACCAACGCAGCAATTATCGTGTGCGTCATTACGCCGCGCTTTCGCTCGATCCACTCATATAAACGCTCTTTGTTGCTACAGCTGCCAATCCCTGGAATTGAACGGGTCCTATTACTGCGAGTGGAATTACAATGGCCTCGGTCTGGACTATCAAATCTTGGCGGGGCCCAGCTTCATCGCGATCTACACGATCGTCGGTATTATCCTGGGAGTCGCGGCTGATAGATACAACAGGTAAACCGATTAAATTAATTTATGAGGTACAGTGTAACACAGTAATCATTTCATCTCTATGTGAACAAACAGAATTTTTGCAAACAATAAGGATACAATGATTCACTGTCATATCTGTGTCTCTTGCTAGAAAGCACCTATAATTGCACAGACAAAATATATTTGCTATATCTTTAACACTCTTCTTTCTCGTTCTAGAGTGAAACTGCTGACCGTCTGCACTATAATATTCAGCGTTGCAATCATCTTGAGCGGGGCCGTGATTGAATACTGGCAGCTCGTTATTCTGCGAATGGTCCTGGCGGCGGGGTAAGTCCTGGTAATATAATGGCATTTCCGCTTCCGATCGCTTTCGTTCGTAATTAACGAATAAACGGGTTACGATCGTTACGCCGCGTTACGTTATATTAAAATCCGAACGAATATTGCAGAGAGGCGGGATGCAATCCACTGGCGACTGGTCTTCTGTCAGACTGGTTCCCGGAAGAACAACGAGGCCTCGTCATGTCCATTTTCAATTGGGGCATTTATGGCGGTTACGGCATCGCCTTTCCGGTCGGTCGATACATACCTGATCTGAACGCCTGGGACCTGGTGAGCTAATATCCGATAGATATTGTCTCCTTTGTGCTATTTTCTCCCTCTCTCTCTCTCTCTTTCGTATTGGTTTTTAAAACCTGCGTGTTCCGGCGAATAATTGCTCGATATATCCTGAAATCATTTCCGCGCGGAAGGAAAGCATAATGAAGGTCACAGTAAATTGCTTCGATATAATAGTACAACAGAGTATTTCCGACGATATAAAAAAGGACACATACAAGTCAAATTATTTAGGATTAAATACTAATACAAATACATAATATTAGCAAAGTGATAAATTAATTGAAATATAGAGATATGGAGAATTAAGAATTAACATAATCAAATTGAGCTATTAATTGGCAGGGCTGGAGGATCTGTTATTATGGAGCCGGAGTGATCGGCTTAATCATCGCCGTCTTTACCGGTCTGTCGTTAACCGAACCGGAAAGAAAGACGATCGGAGAGGAATCGACTAACGACAGAGAGCGACTATCGATTTGGAAAGTGCTACTGCAACCGCGCATTGTTCTCTTATGCCTCGCCGCCAGCATCAGACATAGCGGTAAAAGGCAATACCTTGAAGCGAAAGGATTGAGATATCGAGGGTATATTAGATATCCTATCGAGGATCTATTCGAGTTTGCATTAATTCGGCGAATTCACCTTGCTATGATATTCTTCTCTTTAAATACACTTTATCTAATCAAACTAAAATCTGTTTGAATCTGCGTTCGATTTGAAGAAAGAATAAATCAAATCTAACTTAAGTAATATAGCTTCTTTTTGAAATTCCGAAATTAATTTAAAAAATTCCACATTAATTATATAGAAAATTAGATCACGATGAAATAAAACAGTTTTCACATACAATGTAATTTATATTGTAATATGGTGAACAAAAGATATCGTAGACTTAATAATGGATTGTTTCTTAACTACGTATCAAATGCTCTGTGAGCATTAGTTTTACACTTTGGAAGAGCCATAGCTCAAAAATTACTCATTATCGATTATTGAGCTTGATGTCTGTGATATCTTTTGTTTACCATATTAGAAGGTATATCAAATATGAAAAATAATTCATTTCCGAGATCCAATTTTCCATATAATTAATCTTTTATTTTAATTATCTAAAATACTTTTATTTGATCGTAATTAAATCGTCAACATAAAAGGATTATCTTTATTCTTTCTTATTAGTCTATTTCCTTCTTCGATCAAGCTATTTACTTTCAATTTATGCCACAATCTTTTTTTTAATTGCACGTACCGTTTTACGCAAACAGGATTTTGTTGCTTTTTTCAGGCGGTTTGTGTTTCGCTTACAATTGCGATCTGTACTACAGAGACTACTTTCCGGACTATGATCTCGGCTGGTGGCTTTTCGCCGTCACGATTGTCATCGGTAGTCTGGGTGTCGTGATTGGTGGAATAATTAGCGACAAGTTCGTAGCAAAAATGGGAATTCGTTCGCGTGTAGCGTGTCTGGCGATCAGCCAGCTAATCGCAACGCCGTTCGCATTCGGTTCGGTGTATTTCAATCCTCTTTGGGCCATGATCACACTAGGAATCTCTTATTTCTTCGGTAAGACGCGACGTTACGTATGGAATTGAATGCTGTAAATTTCCAAGCTCAAACATTCCACAAAATATCGATACATATTTTATACAGCAATTGCCTTTAAATTCAACGATCTTATCGTTTTATTTGCAGCTGAAATGTGGTTCGGAATAGTGTTCGCTGTTGTGGTGGAGATTGTTCCTTTGAAACTGCGATCAACCACCGTTGGCGTTTTCCTGTTTGTCATGAATAACATTGGCGGAAACTTACCAATTCTTGTCGAGCCTACCAGAATAGCCATCGGTTTCCGGGAATCGTTGTATATTTATTACGCTGGCTTCTACGGCATCAGTAAGTATATGTAACGGAATAGGAAATTAATTCTTATTGCCATCGTATAATCGTATTCGCAATCGCTTATGTCATTGAATTTTTTGTACAAGTTTCAACCCAGGAAGCGAGAAACATCTTGAAGCATTTCAGCTGAAATATTTCAAAATGTTTTCTTGCTTACTAGGAATCACTTTTATAAAATCAATTCTCGATTTTATTATCACGCGTATCTATATATATAACATTGACGAATCTAAATAAACAGCCATATATATAGGTATCTAAATAAACTAAAAAACAACGACGAAAAACGATTAGTAAAACTGCTTTAGCAAGTCTTTGATCACGAAAAAAACGTGTAGTTGGACGATAATATCATGACACTTTGTACGTAGGTTCCATTATGTTCTTCTTCACCATGTTCCTAATGGACGGTCCCGCGGAGGTGGAGAGAAAAGTGAACAAAGAGGCTCCGCCAGCGTACGACAATAGCACATTTACTAACGACGATGGCCAATTGCCAACGTTGGAACTGCCACCGTTTCCGGCGCGACCACCGATCTACGAACATTCTCGGTTATGAGCAGGAAAAGGCTCTTGCTCCGAAGAGTGTAATGTAAATAGTGTTTCAGTTATGTTGGACTAGACATGAGTCAGGTAGTTTAAGATTGACGACATTAACGTCGATCGGAAATTTGTTACAAGAAGTGTTTCACACCGTCAACAGAGAGAAATTGAAATTGATATAATCCATATTTACAGTGGAAAAATACCAGATATTTTGTTTGTGATATTTTTTGCGTCTTCCGTCGGTCAAATGTTGATGGGTTAAAGTTCTTCAAAACCGAGACTTGCGAAATTGTGCACAGGCACGATTTACAAAGCAGCAACTGCGATAATTAAAGAGTTTTGTTTTGTTTGAACGTGGCATGTTGCAAAACATTTACGAGCGCATGGCGGATTACATAACGCTCTTGATAAAGAAGTTTATAAAAAGATTGATAAACTCTCCGACAATCTTCAAGATGCGTTTTGTGTTCTTAAAATAGAAGTCTGTAATGAAGTGAGCGTCTGCAGGTGTAAGTTTTATAAAAAAAAAAATAAAAATATATGAAAACCTTAATATAATATTAAACTTAATATCGTGGGGATCGATAGAAAAATTAATGGAGTACTAATTGTGCGATTTGAATTTGGGATCCCTCGTTTTGCGCTACTCCAACGATGTTCCATTGTTATCATCATTATTCTGATCATCTACGTATACTTTAAATCATAGTCCTGCGATTCTCTTTTTGTATGTTTTCCTCCAATATAATACTGATAATTTGAGTCATGTATTATATATATAACAATTATAATTATATAATTATACCTATACGTCTATTAGGATTCAGGTGTGTCAAAAAGTGGTATATACGCACGCATATACGCATGCACATTCACATATTCAACACGAATTGCATGTCGCAAAAAGTGTTTTATTGAGAAAGTCACATAAATTAATATTAAGCTAATATTAAGTGGCTAATATTGGTTTTGGTGTTATCACATGTTATAGACAGCCTGTCGAGCTCACCATAGCGGATAATACAAAATGATATATTGACATATCGTACATTTTACTATATGGACCACGCTGACGAAATATTACACACGGGATAGGAGTAATTTTTATACGTACGAGATACGGATTAGCAGCGCACTTGAGATTCGCCATTCATCTCTCTATATACAAATTATTTAATATAAATAAACGAATCTCTACACTTGTAATATACAAAAGTAAGAACCGCGAAGGAGGAATCGCAGAGTATCCTCTTGACGGAGAACGGCGATGCCTCGACGAAAAGTTTTGTCATGAGAAATGCTGTGTACATATCTACATATCAGAACTGTACGGACGACACATGTTCGACGTTCTGCGAATAAATAGCCGCTTAAGAGTATACGTCGCAGCAACTAGATTGATCTACCTGCGTGCGTCAGACGATGTTGCTGCAATTACGTCGACAAACGTAGATAAAAAACAGAAAGTGGGAAGAGAGGGGAGAAAATACGTGTGGATGCAGTGCGTCAATAAGCGTAAAAACTAAAGCCTCCTTTCGAGTTCGGTGTACTCTAATACTTCTCGAGTCGGCTAACACCTGACGACTTAGCGCGATAATGCTCTTAATACTAAAATGGATTCCATATAACAAATATCGAATAGCGGTTTCACGCGCCGGTTTGCCAATACGAGAAACGCAATGAGCCAACGAGTTTGTGTATTTATTTTGATCACGGCACAAGGCGATATTACTCGGCTTTGCGGCAACGTTTTCAAACGTTGCCGCAAAGCTCGCGCCGTTTTTTAAATAAACCATTTCAATGTCCAATGCATGATTATTCTGCCAAATCAGACCTCGTTACGCACAAACAAAAGAATGTGTTGTCGGAAGAAAAATGCGACAATTGAATTTTTACATAATCGAAGAGACGAGCCGCCGACTGCTCGAAACACGAACGTTCGCATCGTTCAGTCTCATTCACACCGTATTGTCCGAAAATAAAAGGTAAAAGTAAAACACTTAAAGACTGTGACGAACTACAAAAATATGTCGATTCACGTACCAAAAACCACATAAGCACTGTCCTTTCATCAGGCTACATTAGGTACTTATTTCTGTTTACTTATTGTCTCGATCGCTCCAAGTCCCTTGCCGAGTTCATACAACATACGTGAACGCAGACGTAATTTACGCTGCTTTCCTTTGCATCGCGCGTATTTTTTCTCCCGTACGATCGCATCGATCATTAAAGGAACTAATTCTCTCGCGATTTCAACGCGTAAAATTCCGCGCAGTGTCGCGAAGTCCATTGCGATTCAACACTCCTCCGTGGACGTGCTAGAGATCTGCGTGCTAGCGCCGCTAGAGAAGCTGCTCCTGCAAGTCTCTACGGCGAGAGCGGTGTCCGGCACCTGGACGAACTGCACTTTCTCCTTGGGGCACCTGCTTCTGCCGTAGACGCAGTTGAAGATGTTGTAACGATGATCCATCTCCAGGTGACTCAGAGTGCTACTGTGTCGTCGCTTCAGCACCTTCTTTGCCATCAAGCTGCGATTGTTCTTGTACGAAAGTTCGCGATGGAAGCAGAAGAACTTACGCAGCTCCCGTTTCACCCGTCGGGATCGATAGCCAAAGAGCAACGGACTCACGTAGGCGGCCAGGATTAAAAAGCTGAGCGCGAGCACGTCGTATTCGTGCGGGAACACGTAATCCGAGTATTGTGGCAGATTCTTGATCATATTCAATAGCACGTATGGCGACCAGCAAATCAGGCCCATTACGATCACCAGCGCGCTGATTCTGGCCGCCCGGGTCTCCTCGCGATACCTGAACAAGGAGCCGTTGCTGATCCGATGCTTGAGAGAATTGATGTAGTTGTTGGTGCTGCGTACACTGGCCACTCGGTGCAGCGAATTTGACTTGCCAGGCGCCGGCGTGATCGTCACGATGGGTGTCAAAAAGCAAGATGAGGATTCCGGACTATTGTATCCAATGTTCTCTGCATTTCTACTAATCGCGTATGATTCCACATTGGCATCGAAGATGCTGGGTCTTGACAAACGGCGACTGGGTCGTCTCGGTCTCTTGCTCTCCGAGTTACCGCTAGAATTCGGGACCTCGTTTTGCGCTTGTTCCCGTTGTATTGTCTTGACCGTAACAGAGACCTCTTCCTCGATACGACAAGCCGTGGTCTTAAAAGAATCCCGTTCGAGATTGTCCACGTCATCACATGGCTCCTCTGTCCTCTCGCATTGGGTAACCGACAGAAGACAATCGGAGGATCTTTGATCTGTGATCTTGCGAGTTGTTTTAGGAACTTTTAAAGAGTCGAAGTAATCGTAGCGTCGCTCGTCGTTCTCGGAATCACTTGAGTCCGCCCCGGCGATCCACTCGGAGGATTCCCCGATCTCGTCCGTTAGATCACACGAAGATTTCCGTCTCCGACCAGCTTCCGAATCGTGGAATTTGCTCGCAACGAGATTCTCATAGGACGAAACGCGTTCCTTCTTGAGGTAGTTTGTCTGTAGATTAGCTGCTTCCGTCAAATTATTATCATTGTTTTGATCAGACGGAATTTCCACCGGTTGTAGTCCTACCGTAAAGACGATCCCCGACGACGTCTGTTCGTCATTCGATCCCGTCTGTGCCGCGTCCAAGGATGATGAAAAGGATCTCCGACGTGATATCTGATTGACCGAATGCGTAGTCTCGCTTGTCTCGTCGATGGACGAAAGACTCGAGATTTTGGGTATTCTACGAAACTCGTCGGGAAACGTGTCAGCGGATTGATGCTGTGCCTTCACGTAATAGTACGGATCTTCGCTGAAGCTGCCCGACGAAAGAATCGGTCGCGAACCAGTCCTACGAGTTCTCTCAGAGTTTCGGTGCGCGGCCGAATAGATGCTGATATAAATCCAACAAACACCGGCGAATGGAAGTAGATATGCGAATACACTGTGTACGACTGTGTAAATAAGTCCGTAAGTAACAGAGTCGTTAGTCATGGTACGAAAGATCACAGTAGAGTTCTCGAGGAGGCCGATACTGCTATCGATCTTGATCGACTCGATCGTTTTAAGTAACGTTGGCGTCACGTCGTCGATTACTTTCTCTTCCTCCTCCTCGCTGGTCCCGTTGCCGAAGAACGCGAACGCGGATTCGAACGACGTCTCCGCGGTCGCGGTAACGTTTGATGCGAATTCGCGATAGGACGAGTTATTCAGCAACGTTGTCATGCTGCAGGACAGCCACAGGCTACGTGGACTCGGGTTCAAGGCAGCTACCAAGCCGAAGGTCATTGAAACCAGCCAGATGGAGACGATCAGCACGGCCGACTTGAGCTTGTCGACTCGAGCCCGGTAACGCAGTGGGTCCACCACGGCAAAATATTGATCGATGGCAATCAGCAGGACCGATAGCACTGACGACGTGGTAACGAGCGCAGTGGCACCTTCCGATATCGCGCAGATATTACTGGCAGCCGATGCAGACGTCGATGTCGAACCGAACGGCGACGTGAAGTCATCCGGCGTTGACGTAGATGTCATCAGCGTGTCTTCCACCGTCGGGCCGTCCATCATCAGCAATGGATTCAGCACGGCACACGTCAGCAGATTCGACACCGTTAGGTTCATCACGAATCTGGAATTGAGACAGAACAGGCCGTCTTCAACATCGAACGTTGATAATGTCCGACTCCTGCGTGATTGTCTTAAATTAGCAATCGATGATTGATTGAATGACAATAGAACTCATTGAACTATGAAATGAGATCTGTTACGATTAATAAATCAGTAATAAGATGCAAGGTGAAATAAAATAAGAAAAAAAGAAGGGAAGATTTTTTAATATTTTTTTTCACATGGGTCAATTTTGAATCAAAATGACTTGATAATTGGCAACAAATACAAACGTATATAATTCATTGGTAGAAAGCAACATTATATAAAAGAGACACAAACCAACAGAAAGCACTGAAAGAAAAGAAAGCAAAATTTTATTTTCATATTTTTCTGCTACGCTTTTAATTACATGTCACGTGTTAGCAGACACAAACGTCATGTGATCGCTTAATATTTTTGCTCCTCGTGGATGGATTATATATTCGCCGTTTCTGCCAATATAACAAATTCGTCTTAAAAACATTTAAAGTACTCATGGTACTTCGTGTCATTTATTTGTGTTATCAATGGATCGATGAGCGAATTCCATCAATTGATCGCTTTGATCTAAATATGGCTCGGAAATATCGTTCACGTTATTTTGCAAAACATCGAACACGAGATAATAAATGAATTTTCCTTTATACAGTGGTGAATGTTACAGTTTCGAATTGCACTGTTAACAGCAACGAAATGTTCTGAAAATACGACAGATTTATTATTACATTTCGTTGCTGCAGTTGCCAAAGTTTGGTACTCGGCGAGTAATTGATTTCCTGGCCCAGCAGGTGGAAGTCTACGTAATAACAATGATATAGATCCAGTCTTAGTAGTGCGCGGCTCTATTAATACGGCTTACTAATATCAACTGAAACGT